GGGCTGTAGTCCACGAAAGCTTATGCTCTAATAAATTTGTTAGTCTCTAAGGTGCCACAAGTACTCCTGTTCTCTGCCACATTATGTCTCTAGTTTCTATTGCTTTGCAGGTCACATCTCAGACTGTAAAAAAGAGCTCTGGAGTTAACACTCTGTTATTGTTTACCCATTGGAAAGAGTGTTTGTGAATCCTGATTACATTATCTAGCAAATGGGACATCTGTGGTCATTTCTGGCATTCGTCACTCCTCTCTAATACCCACCCGGCACTAAGGGTGTGGCATGGAGTTGCCAATGCCACTGTTGCTGTACCAGGGTAAAGGCAGGGTACAGGCAGTGGATCAATGTCAGACGCTAGCATTAACAGCTGTCAGTCTTGTTCCACTTGTCACCTTGGCCCTTCCTCACTCACTAGCACCTCCCTTAGTAATATGTTACAGACACAAAGGAAAAGTCCTCATCATTTGGATAAAATATACAGCTCCCGTTGGAAGGCGAAGGCTGAGACCATCAAACTGGTTTGTCTGACCTGTTCCCTTCCCCTTCCCAGGCAGTACATGGTGCTAGTGCCCTTTCTGATCCACACCAACATTCCTGAAAAGGTCTGTATCCAGCTGACCCACCTGAATGAGTCTGTGACGCTGAGCGCCACGCTGGAATACGCAGGGGAGAACAGGAGCCTGATCGCAGACGTGGTGTCGGAGAAGGACATGTTCAAGTGCGTCCCGTTCACAGTGAGTATCTGACCCCCACAACGATTATTATCTGTGTCACAACAGTAAAGCAATAAGGATAGTGACCAGAGGGATTAACTCTTGGAGCTCTGGTTGTTTAGCAAGGTTAACTAAGTGGAGCTAGTCTGAGAATAGAGGAGGTTGCCTGGACTGGGGCCTGCCCTGCCCTGTGCTTGACCTGCCCAATTCCCACTCCATATGCAACTCCTTTCCCCACTGCTGGAAACCCAGCCTCAAGATCCCCCTCTCTGCTGCTGGAAACTTTCTCAGTCCTCCCTGCAAAGTCACTCCCCTTCTTATTCTTAGAAACTCTCCTCGGTCCTTTGGAACACCTGGGACGAGAGCTCTAACTCAAGGCCAGCTGCTGCTGAACCTTAGAATTATAGAACCATAGGGTTAGAAGGGACCACAAGGGTCATCTAGCTAACCCCCCACCAAGAGGCAGGATTTGTTGCATCTACACCATCCAAGAGAGATGCTATCCAGATGGCTACTGCAATGGTTTCTAGCCAGTGTGGACAGGAAGCTACAAGGGTTTTAGTGGCTGGGCCAGATGACTGTGTGAGTTGCATCCCACAGTGCAGTGCATCATAAACAGTGGCCAGGTTCTCTGTGGCTCCTCATGTGATAGTTTTCAATGGTGAGGAAAGAGTCACTGACTGTTCCTCCTCAGGGTCCCCCAATCAGTGGCAGCAGGCATGTGAGGGAAGCAGAAGGACTTGTGGGGGGAATAAGGGTACAGGAGGGAGTTGGGACGCTGGAGTAGGGGGTGCTGTGGGAGAGGTGTGCAGTTTTGGGTGACTTTTCTACCTGAAATTATCACCACACACATAGCCAGAGGAGTAGAGGGGAGTTTTGAACAGTGAAAAAACAATAAAAAACATGATTTGCTGTTTGGTTTTTTTGGTCTCATGATTTTGGAACCATCTCATGATTTTTTAGGGTCTGATGCTGATGGTTGATCTCTTGAGGTTGGCAATACTGTAATGCTAACTCCAATGAAAGGGTTATTTAGTAAGGTTGGCAGGAAAGATGCAAATGGCATCAGAGAAGTGAGTTACAAGCAAAGATGAACACAGTAATTGCCAAACTTGTCCTCTCAGGGGTGGTCCACTAGAGGACACAAGGCAAAATTTGTCCAGTGAGGCTCTTCAGGCCTAATAGCTGGGATGTCCCTTCTAGACCATCTTGCTTTTAGAAGGGCAATTAGCCTGCAGGTCCCACTGGCAAGGGTCAGTCCCCTAGTCTGATGTATCACTAGGGGTCCCTCTGTGTTGTCCTGTCCTGTCATCAAATGTAGCAGTTGACTCACATCTGCTTGCATGTTGTTTCACCTATAGGCAATGATTAGGCTACAAGGCCCGTCCTAAACTTCCCATTATGCAATCCCCCTTTATGGGCACCGCAGCACCTTCCCTGTTCCCTGTGTCTACCATTTGGTCAAATCATGTTGATGTTTTCCCCAGGCAAATCCCCGGTATCTAGAACAGGAGTTCCCAAATTTTAATGAATTATTTCCTCCTGGGACAGCATGGAGGATGCCATTTTGAAGAACAAAGTGTCATCGTCTATGCAATATGATGTATGGTGTGTGCGAGGTCATGCTGTGCAGAGGAAGCCATTTTGTAGAGCAAAATGGCGTTCTCCATGCATCGTGACCTTGCCTGCCCCATACATGTGAGGCCATGCTGTGTGGAGCAAACTGGCATCCTCTGCACAGTAGGGATTGCTGAGACCCCATTTGCTGATGGCGTGACCCCATTTGGGGTCATGTCCCACAGTTTGGGAACTGCTGGTCTAGAGCAAGGGTTTTGCAATAGTTTATTTCCAGTTACTGCACCTTTAAGTCTTGGAGGGCTGCTGCCTCTATTGTTCACGGAGCCCCATGCCAACCTCTGTTTGGTTCTCTGGCTGCAGGGCTGCCTGCTCCAAGTATCTACTGCTTCTTCACTGGGTTTGTCTGCACCTGTATCCTGCTGCCATCAGCAGTCTGCTCTCTGCTAAATGCTCCTGAGCCTCTCTCAGCTGGCAGTGGCTGTTACTGGCTCCTCAGAAAGCAAGCTGCCTTCCAATCCCCTCATGTTATTGGCCAGGAGAGGGGACTGGGTTTGCTCTACCCCTCCTGCTGGTCTATCTCACCATTTGGTGGTAGCGGGCATCCGCTCAGCAGGTTCATCTCACTGTACTTCCAGCAGCCACAGTTAAGTACAAATGGCCCTTCAGATCGGACTTGCGCTTCAGATCAGAACAGACCTCAGATAGCTTGTCTTGTGGGTGTAATAAATGGGTGTATTGTGTGTGATCATGAGTCTGACTGTCTACCTCAGTGACTAACACCCTGCTACTAACTGAGAGCTAACAAGAGTACTCGCTTAGCTCAGGAGACAGGGACCTGGCCTTTGGGTCTGATGTTAAATCCCAGCTGATGAATACAGTGTACATAGCCAGGGTTTGTCACACGTAGACTGGAGATTGAGACTTAACGTGTGCGGGGAGTCAACATGTTTAATCTAGAAAAGAAGCTTCCACAGAGTCAGGATTGCAGTGGACGAATCCCTTTAGGGGAACAGTATAACAGGAGGAAGGGGGTTTATTCCCAATCTCTGCAGATGGCAAGAAAAAAGGAAGATACATTTTGGGCTAAGACATGAAGGGGAAATTTGCCAGAGTCAGAGCGACTGGGGTGGAGGAAGCTGGTGGAGGCCCTGTTGTTGCAAAGCACCACGTTAGAGGGGATGTTAGTGGAAATGTGGAGATAGGGGAGGTCAGCTTGAGTGCCCCTGCCCCCTACTCTAATCCTTGTCACCGCTGTGGTTGGGCCTGTGATGGCTTCCCACAATGCCCTCATCTCTCAAAGGCAGGTTCAGTTAAAGAGGCTGTTGAGGGGAGTCTCTAAGGCAGCATCTCTTTTATTGTTCTCCAGGTTCCCAAATCTAACAGCTCATCAGCAGCGTTTCTCACGGTGCTGGTGAAGGGGCCATCGCTGGAGTTCAGGAGCCGGAAATCGGTGCTGGTCAAGAACTCAAAGAGCCTGGTCTTTGTCCAGACGGACAAACCCATCTACAAACCGGGACAAACAGGTACAGGGAATCGGGTGGGGAACTGCATTCAGGAAATCCTCCACAGCCCTTATATGCATTGGATCCACATTGGCCTGACATCTGCAGTGCACTGAAGGTGCCAGATCAATAGTCCCCAGAGAATGAAGAATTTTTTTATCCCCCGCATAGGTACAGCTTGGGGAGCACCAATGTAAGCCACACACACACACTGCCTGCGTGCCCGGAGGGAGTTCAAACTCTGTGGCCTAGGCAGTTTTCATCCTCTTTACTGAGACCACCAAAGAGGAGATGTCACTCACTGCAATGATGTATTTTTATGACTTGGATACTTGTCCCACTAAGAACTAGACTGAGGCCCAACCAACTCATTTCACATAGGCAATCAAATAGCCTTCAGGATGGAAACTGACTTTGCTCACTATAGACGTGGAGTAAGTGCCATAGAGGTGAAAGAATTCCATAAGTCATGTCGATTGTGCCATCCATCCCCATGACTTGGAGCTGAATTGGAACTGGTGCCCTGAAGGTGGAAAACTCTGTACTATTTTCCTTGATCATCCTGAGCCAATATTCTCAGCCTGACAGTAATGGCTCAGGGCGATCAATCTGGTGCTGGAGTGGAGCTGATTTCCTAGGGATTGTCTTTTCTAACATGACCTGGTTATCTAGAACACGACCTTGAGGGATTGTGTTAATTAACATGATGTTACATACAACATTTCAATCAGTGTAGGCATAAACAAGCCGCGTTTAACATTGTGTCAGCTGGTCCTGGTGAATCCTACGGTTCCAGTAGCATTTACCCATGACCAGTAGCCACCATGTGAAATATGACTTGTCCATGTCTACACTGACTGCAAAGCTGCTTTTCACATTGTGTTAATTAACATGATTCTTCAAGATCTTATTCTAACATGACCTAATTTTGTAGTGAACCCAAGTCCATAGAGATGAAAGACTCCATATCCCATTCCCCATCATGCCATATGACTGACATTTCCTGATTTGGTGGCTGAATGTCTCATCATGGAAATCTCTCTGTCTGTCTGTCTCTCTCAGTCCTGTTTCGAGTTGTCTATCTGGATGAAAACTTCCATCCTCTGAATAGGTTGGTAAGTATGCTAGTCATTAAGTCATCAGTGAGGGGAAAAGGATGAGAGAAACATCCCTTCAAGAGGAGGTGTTCCTCAGATTAAGGTGGGGCTCTAGTGCCAGGGGTATCCCAGTGCTTTCTGACACTCTAGGACTCCTCCTTTAGACTGCTTCATAAAGTCATCTCATTACAATCTTGGAAAGATTTGGTAATGACATGACACACAGACAAAATGCCGTTAGCCACCTCAGCACGAAGCAAAATTCACTTGTTACTAGGGTCATAGGAGCTGCCCTTAGCCTTCCAAAGAGAGCAGTGGAAACAAAAGACGTATCTGGCTTCAAGACTAAGCTTGATATGTTTATGGAGGGGATGGTATAATGGGACAGCCTAATTTTGGCAATTAATTGATTTTTGACTATTAGCGGTAAATATGCCCAATGGCTTGTGATGGGATGTTAGATGGGGTGGGATCTGAGTTACTAAAGAGAATTCTTTCTTGGGTGTCTGGCTGGTGAGTCTTGCCCACATGCTCAGGGTTTAGCTGATCGCCATATTTGGGGTCAGGAAGGAATTTTCCTCCAGGGCAGATTGGCAGAGGCTTGGGGTTTGTTCACCTTCCTCTGCAGCATGGGGCACGGGTCACTTGCTGGAGGATTCTCTGCACCTTGAAGTCTTTAAACCACAAGTTGAGGACTTCAATAGCTCAGACATAGGTCAGGGGTTTGTTACAGGAGTGGGTGGGTGAGATTCTGTGGCCTGTGTTGTGCAGGAGGTCAGACTAGAAGATCTTAATGGTCCCTTCTGACCTTAAAGTCTATGAGTCTATACCAGATCACTGCAATTGGACCATTTATCCTGGTATTTCTCCTCCCTGCTATACCAGATCACAACCTTGAATCCACCATGCTGCTATCTTGCCTTCCTGCTAGAGCTGAACAGACCAATGGTCTATCTACTTTAACCCTGTCCTCTCTCTGACTGGGGCCAGTGCCACATGCCTCGCAGGAAGCTTTAAAACTCTCATAATACATCTCATTATGTAGTGCTGTCCCATGGAGGGACATTTTTTCCAGGCCTTAGCTGGTGATTGGCTTATGCCTGAAGCACGATGATCCATAGCCCTGGTAATTTGTAGCCTAGCTGATGTCACTCAAACTGTTCTCGTTTTCATTAATGTCTCTGCTCTTTTTCAGCACTTGCTGACATTTCCATTTGGTATGAATTCTAAACTCATTCTCCCTTTTGCACTTTTTTCCAGGTTCCACTGGCCTATATCGAGGTATGTAGAGGAATTTACTTCATGTTCAGAACTATCACATCTCACCATGGGCAGCAATCAGCCCCTGGCTGCCTCAAGCTGCTTCTTGCTGACTTTGTTTAGATCCATAGCGCTAACTGGAAGAGGGATACGCTTTACCCCCCATAGTGTCAATAATGCATCCAAATACTGCCAGGCAACCTTCCTGATATTCCAGTCCTGGGCTCCCCACACAACTCTGCCAATGCTTCTCATTTCTCACCGACATCACCCCTTACTGTTCAAGTAATCTTGTGGTCTTGACACCTCTAGGACCCACAGAAGAACCGTGTGTATCAGTGGCAAGAAGTTGAGTTAAAAGGGGGCTTCACCCAGCTCTCCTTCCCCCTCACCTCCGAGCCCATCCAAGGGACCTACAAAGTGGTGGTGCAGAAGAGCTCTGGGGACAAGGTGCAACACCCCTTTACTGTGGAGGAATATGGTAAGGATGGCTGCTTTCATAGTGTCATAGTGTCAAGTCAGTTGCTGGTAGTTGATCCAAGGTGTTGACAATGGAGAATGAAGGCTGGATTGAATGGGTCAGTTGGTCTGATCAGCATTTTCTGTACAGCTGGAATGGGGCAGGGAGGAGTCTGTACTCCCACAGGTTGGGGTAATGCCCTCTTCAGAGTTGTCCTTTACTGTCTATCTTGAGGGTCGAGTACCAGAGAACTCAGTGAATCCTCCACCCAACCTGGATCAGGGTCCCAGTGGGGGCCAGCTGTTGTCACTCAATTAGGGTGAACTGCAAAGAATGGGGCAGAAAATCCCTCAAAAGCTGGTGGATATTCCAATACTTAGATTTACCAAGCCAGCATAAAACAGCTTCTTTATTACCTTACTGGTTACTCAGAAGTCCAAAAACCACACTTCTCTTAAAGTGATCCAGCCTCAGGCCTCCATCCAGATACCTAAGTCAAATATGATGATTTCTGAAAATCTTATTTCATCATATAAAAGAAAAGGTTCTACCAATCCCAAAGGATCAGACACATTACCTCCCAGGTTAATGAATGTTTCAAATCTTACCCAAATACACGCTACAGCCAATTCTTATTAACTTAACTAAAATGTATTAAAAAAACAAAAGAGAGGGAATATGGTTAAATGAGCAATATACATACAGACATGAGTTCGATTCATTGAGGTTCAGATTCATAGCAGAGATGGTGAGCTTTGTAGTTGGAAATAGTTCATAGGTTATAGTTCAATGTCCAAATATCCTATTCAGGGCGAACCAGCATAACTGGGACCTCAGTCTTGCGACTCAAACTTCCCCCAATGAAGCTTAAGCAGATCTGAGATGACAGTGTCAGGACCCAAGGATCTTTTATACAATTTCATGTCCTCTCTGGCAAGTTGGGAGTTCCTCCGGGAACAAAAGGTAATTAGGATGACTTTGAAGAAGGTCCATCACCAGTACTTAGCTATATGGATTAACATAAGGCAATTTGCTTGTTTCTCCACCATTCACAGTGCATTTCAAAGAGAGATGAATACAGAGATATCCCATGTTTACAATTCATTTAAACGCTAGGATGTTCTTTTAACCTCTGAATGATCAGAATACAGCATAGATAGGGACTGTTGATTACATTGTCGACCCTACTCATACATATGGAAATCCACAAAAACACAAACATTATTTCCCCACATGTCTTTTGAGGATTATTTATTTTGCAGGATGTTTAATCCTTTCTAGCCATACGTCACACACCCACCTTAGAAAGGCTCCAATCAGACAGGGCTGTGCTCCCCTTTGAGTCAGTGCTGACACCAGTGCAGCAGCCTGGTGCTAGGGGCACTGTGCTTGTTGGAGTCCTGAGGTTTCAGATGCGCTACAAGGCCAAGGCCCTGACTCTTCCTGGTTAATAAAAGTCCTGAGGAACTTTCTGCAAGAGCAGGGGTGTGAACCCCAGTACCCTGACCACATTCCAGTTCCATTACCATCCTACCTCCCTGAAACGCCTCCTGGCGGTCCCCCCCACAGAAAGTGTTCACTGCCTCTCTTAGGACACTGCTGTGTAGTGTGGCTAGCTTGGCGTGTGTGATGCTGCCCTCTAGTGACTGGCTCATAGAGAAGAGAAAAGGCTTTTGCCCTGCCAGCAGCTAGGGGAGATCTCCTTTGGCTAGAGGCGTGTGATTTTGGAACTGAAGGAACCCGGGTTTAGGCTTAGCTCCCTCTGCGTCTGTATGCATGTATGTGATTTATTTAATAAATGTGTCTGCTGTCAGACACCATTGTGGGACAGACTGGCTGCCGTGTTCCAGCTCTGAGGCAGCTGTATTTTGGTGGCAGGTGAAGTAATCTCCATACTAATATGGCATTAGTTTAATAGGGGCTGAGCAACCGTAGCTCCATTGATTTCAGTGGGAGTTGCAGGTGATCAGAACCTCGGTAAATCAGGCCAATGAGAAAGGCTATGAAATGCTTTGGGTCCGCTTGGGAAAGAGGCCTTAGAGCAATAACCCCAGCTCTCCTTATCACGTTACCCCGTTTCCACTGAGTTTGCGGTTCCGTTTGGTCTCTTTTCTGCAGTGCTGCCCAAATTTGAAGTGCTGGTGAAGCTGCCCAAGATGATCAGCATCCTGGAGGAGAAGTTGAAGGTGACAGTCTGTGGTCTGTGAGTATCATTCTTATATTCACTCCTTTTTGGTGGGTCTCTCAGCCCCGTGGCTAATGAAGCCCCAGCTGGGAGCTGAGATCAGTATGCTTTAAAATATTTCTTAATACAGTTTTTGGGACCTATACACAAAGGCCTCAAGGCCCAGGACCAAGAAGTGAAATGCTTCCTGTAAGGCTCTGTTTATAATAGGCTAACAAGCTTTTCATCAACTGCTTCTTGGAGCACCTTGAGCTCCACCCCTTGTGGCCATAACACAGGAGCTATCCCAGGTGTTCTGCAGTTGCTGGTTGCAATGCCTGTGGCGAAGTGTTTGGCTCAGGTCCAGTAGGACTGGTGCTTTTAACAAAGGTTGCTCCATCATTGTTGATGGGGAAACTACGAGGCAACCCTGGTTCAGCTAGTTCACTTAGTGCTGCCCCGCAGTGCCGTGTCTCATGTTTGGCAATCTCCAGAGTTTATGCTGAGCACTCTGAAATGCACGGCAGAATGCACTGCGACAGTGAGTTGCAAGACGTTTGCTATGTAGTAGTTTAGTCAAAAATGGACACTATGCAACATGCAGACAAGTGATTCAGCCAAGCATTTCCAGCAGTTAGTATTCTTGCAATGGGTTCTTCAAGACTGAGTTCTGCTCTCGGCTATACAAGAAACATGGCAAATTACTTCAGTAGAGTTGGATGGGATTTACAGAGGGGCAGCTGGCAGCATTGTTTTGCCCCTCATATAGACGCACACCTTATCTGGCTCTGTTGAGGACCCTCCTAGAATAGTACTTTTATTTCTTGGGCACTTACTATCCAAAGTTGAAATGGAGGGGACTTAGAGAAGAGTAACACAAATAATGGAGGGGCTGGAAGGATTGACTCACGAGGAAGGACAAAATAGCTAACAGGCTCAGTCAGCCTGATGTAGGTAGGGCTTACTCCATAGCTGAATTTGAGCCCAATATGTTAACAAAGCTGTGGCCACCAAGGACTTCCCACTTATCACTAGGCTGCATCCTGGACACTAAACAAGCCTGCCTGGGTCCTTGTGGGGATGGACTAACCATCCCTCCATCTCTTCCATGTCACTAATGGCCTTGGTTTTCTTTCACCCCTCCCTGGTTATAGATACACCTTTGGAAAGCCAGTCCCTGGCCTTGTGAACTTCCGTGTATGCCGGAAATATAACCACCCAGGCACCTCCTGTTATGGCGAGGATGCAAAGGCAGTGTGTGAGGAGTTCTCTGGACAGGTGGGTTATTGCTACTCTGGTGGTGTGAGGTGGCATGGATAATAAAACTGTATATACGCTATGGGTAAATCCTGCACTGACAGGGAGCTGGACTGGATAGGTTAATAGGTTTTTTCCATGAAAACACTGTGGGATACCAGACTAGATGTACCAGTAATAACGGATCTGGACTCCTTGCCATTGCAGTGGCCTCAGGCACTGGTGCACCCCAGTCCCTCTTATTCTCTGCCTGTGGCACATAATAGTCTAGTCTCCTAATTTTGGTTGTTGGATGAACATGCAGGTACTGGGTGGTGTTGGCAGCAATGTTGCTGTATATTTCAGAATGTTCATTGTCAGTTTATGGGCTTTCCAAATCTGGGGGAAAAAACCCTGAACAGTGAAAATGTGGTGTTTGCCAATTTCTTTTTTCTCAGTTCAATGGGCAGGGATGGATTTTCTGAGTATGATAAACCTTACAAACAGGTGAATGAGAGACAAAGTCCCGAAGAATTTTGTTCTTCTTTGTCCATCAGGCAGACAGCCACGGCTGCATTTCTGAAGTGGTAAAGACCAAGATATTCCAGCTCAGGCGAGCTGGGTACGAGGATAAAATCCAAGTGGAAGCCAAGATTAAAGAGGAGGAGACAGGTATGAATTGTTTGGACTTGCCAGGGCTGTGTGGGGAGCCCAGGACTGGAATAGCAGGGGGCTGCAGGGCAGGATTGAGGGGCACTGGCAGAGCTGGGCGGGGGGAGCCCAGGACTGGAATGGCAGTGGGCTGCAAGGCATGATTAAGATGTGTTAGTTCATGCCCCCTCTTTGTTCTCTTCTCTTGCAGGGGTGGAGTTAACTGGGACGGGCTCCTGCAAACTCACATCCACCATTAGCAAAGTCACCTTTGAGAAAGTGGACTCCCATTACAAACCTGGGATCCCCTTCTTTGGGCAGGTAGGGAACCTCTGAAACCACAAGCAGGTAAATGACATGTGAGCATCAAATGAGTGTGCCACAGAATCTGCAGTCACAGCGTGGTGATATTTCCTCTCCTTCCATGGGAGCTGCCGGATCACAGTATTTTTAACACCCAGTGCCTTTGCTTCTTCGTCACAAGTTCTGGCACCAGCGTCTCTGCAGCGTAAGACCTGAGGTTGTGCAAAGCTGGTTATGCTCAAACTGAGCTAGAGTTTACCTATCTCTGTGAGACCCCAGCTACTCTCCTTGACTGTCCTGAGGGCCCAGATGAAACGTTTGTGGTGGAATTTTCCCTCTGGCCCTTCGCCTACCCTTTTCTGTTTTGAGGATGCCTCCTGCTGGGTCGAGTCAAGGTGCTGCTTCTCTAACTCTCACAGCTCTGGGATGTGTGGCCTCTGAGCCCACTGTGCACTCATCTGACCCACAGGGAGTGATGAGAAAGAGACAGTGAAACGGGATTCAGAGATTGCATTTCCCACTCTGGGCACAAGGTGTTGTCCTTACCTCAGACACTTTAGTATCCTCTGGCATATTCACTGCCACCTGCTTCCGAGAGTCCCTCAGCAGATTCCCCAACCACAATGTGTTTCACAGCAAGCACCTTTCATGGTGATGGAGTAAAGGGCCAGTAAGATTGTGGGCACCAACTTCCTTGCCTAGTGTAAACATGGAGTATTGGTGTATCTCCTTTAGGTGAAGTTGGTGGATGGGACCGATGCGCCAATCGCCAATGAAACAGTCCAGATTTCCGTGGAAGAGAGCGGCTATCAAGTCAACTACACGACAGATGATCAGGGGCGAGCACGGTTTGCCCTGGACACATCTAAGTTCAAGTTCGCCTCCATTGGGCTCAGAGTGAGTGGCTGGGGGAGGGTGGGGAGTTACTGATGGGGCTTCAAGGGGAGTAACCGTTAGGGGTTTATATAGCTTTTCTGCTGAAAACAGATATCCTCTCACCCAGGGAGTGTGTGTATATATCTATATCTCCTTCATAGCCATGAGGTGGCAACAGCCCTGCCATCAGTTGTGTAGCCACATGTGATAAACACAATATCTTGTACTTTTGACCATCTCACTCTGCCCATCAGTCCTCATCCCCCAGGACCGATTCCAACATTCAAAACCTCTGAGCTGCCATAAAAAAAATCAACCTGCCACACAAATGACTTTTTTGCCGAGTTTCCTGCTGAGATTGCATTAGCTTGAGATGCAACATCAGAATAAATGAGCGTCAATATGTGGCCTATCTTATTGTCCAAATATATAACAGGTGGAAAATAGACTCATTCTCCGTTATCTCACCCTCAAAGAGGGAACATTCTATGATGCTTGATTTTTTTAATGTGTCTGAGGAAGTGGGTATTCACCCACGAAAGCTTATGCTCCAATACTTCTGTTAGTCTATAAAGTGCCACAGGATTCTTCGTTGCTTTTCACAGATCCAGACTAACACGGCTATCCCTCTGATTGTAATTGTCTTGTCCCAGATTAAAAACATTGAAAATATCTACAATGTACCAGGGACATTTTTGAAATTTTCAGGGATTATAGGGAAAAATTTCAAGAATTTCAAATCAGACAGGTTAAAATAAAGAAAGGCAAGCATGTAGGGCAAGCTCAAGGCATTAAATAACCTCCTCCTGCAAATACAAAGTAGTTCTCTCCTCTCTGCTCTCAGACCAGAATTCTCTCATCTCCAAAACTGCTGTTCAGTTCAGATTTTAAATTCTGTTGGTACCAGGTAAATCATTTGAAGTTGTTTGTAAAGTTCTTAGTGCTATACAAATAATATGTCATAAAAATAATGGGCCAGCTTTCCCATTGATGTCAATGGGAGCTCTGGCTGAGTAAGGATTTTGGATTAGTACTATAAATAAATAAATAAATAATGTGTCTTGTTTTGTACATGGCAAGGAATCCATGTCCTCTGTGGGTTTTGTCCTGTGAAATGCTGAGCACCCTGATTTCCTATTGACTCTCTGATGAACAAAGCACCTAGCACCTTCCAGAAGCAGGGCCGGCTCCAGGGTTTTTGCCACCCCAAGTGGCAGGAAGGAAAAAAAAAAGCCGCGATCGGCAGCAGCTCCACCACATTGCTTTCTTGGCGGCATTTTGGCAGCAGGTCCTTCCCTCCGAGAGGGACTGAGGGACCCACTGCCGAATTGCTGCCAAAGGGGCCCCTTTCCGTTGGCCGCCCCAAGCACCTGCTTGCTGTGCTGGTGCATGGAGCCGGCCCTGTCCAGAAGCAGGCCATTATTATCTCACTCTTTTAAACACATGCTGTGAATTTCAATTCGATTTTTAAATGTTTTATATAAATATTTTCTCTGTTACCAGGCAACTCATAAAACAGGCGCCTACTGTTACGACCGTTCCTGGACCAGTCCTTCATACGAATTGGGCTATTTCAGAGCAAAGCGGTTTTACTCTTCGAGTAACAGCTTTCTCAAAATAGAGCCTGTGTCGGAGATGCTAAGCTGTGGCCACACTCAGGAAGTCCGGGTGCACTATATCCTGAAGCCAGAGGCTGTGGGGGAGCAGAAGGAAATCATCTTTTACTATTTGGTAAACCTGGACATACTGATCTTTGTCTACATATAGGTGACAACAACAGATAGGCTCAAGCGCCTGCCAGATAATCAGTCCCTGGACAGTAATTCTAGGTGGGGCCCCAAATTGTGTGTGGCCTGGGGCAAGAACTTGTACCTATATTACCCATAATCCTTCACACTCTTTTCCTTGGGCTGATGCTCTTTGCTGAGCCCCAATGCTGGATACCAACATTTTATGAGGAGAAGAAGAGGAACTGGGTTCTATTGCCCCTGATTAAACACAAAGAATTTTGCTAGCAGAGATCAATAGAGCAGCTCTGCTGGCTCCAGCCACCTGAGGCCCAAAATTCCTGACATTCCTCTCACAGGTTCCCCCATTCTAACACCTCTCCTACTCATAATACCCATAACAGGAAGGCTTCTTCTTCCATGCAGGTAATGGCCAAAGGAGGCATTGTGCGAGCAGGGACCCAGGCTCTGGCTGTGGAGCATGGTGATGGTGAGCTCTCACCACCACTTCCCTTATCTTTCTCCCGGGAGGCTAGGCCACTGTGACTGAAACACAGGCTGCTTCCATATGAGGTGAGAGGATCATCGTGTGCCATCCCCTGAGATGGGGGAAAAAAGAGGGGGAGAACGAATTTCTTTCCTCTATAGCCATTCTAGCTCTGCAGCTCTTGCCGAGCTCTAATCCTCCCCAGCTCCTCATATCTCCTGACTGATATATTCTTTGTCACTGATGTCAGTCTCAGGAGACTCTCATCTTGAGTAATTCAGGCTGGGTTTGCTTTAACCCTTGTGTAGAAATCCCACCCAATCTCCATCCCTTCCTTAGCCACCAGGCTCTTACAAAATCCTCCCTTTTATTTTCTGGGGCACGTGGGGCTTCTGGGGTTCCTGAGGGACACAGTTAATGATGAGGGTCTAAAAACTAGATTGAGTCTCACCAAACTCATGTCAACAGTATGTGCCAAAGCAGTAAGAGCCGATGTTCTCATCAGTAAATCAAGTTCCATTCCCTGTGTTTCCATGTGGTCGGAATCCCAGCTGTAACAAGTTTGGCATGAAGGGAAGCCTAGAGACTCAAGAGAGGTGTGGGGCCCTAGCCTGGAGCCAACTTCCTGTAACTTAGCCTTTTTCTCTTGTTTTATTTGCCAGTTAATGGGACCTTCTCACTGATGCTCCCCGTGGAGTCTGATATTGCTCATATACACAATATCATATACACCATTTCACCCACAGATGCTCATATACACCATTTCACCCAATCAGGAGCCTATTGCTGATTCAGTCAAATTCCAGGTCGAAAATTGCTTTGCCAATAAGGTGGGTGTCTTGATTGAGAAACCCCAATTCACTTGAAGTCATTGATTAGAGAGCAGCAGCTGTTTGTATCTATTTATTTAGATTTGCGAACATTAAAACAGTCATTATCATCAAATGCTCTGGGTGATTTTACCATATATTAAAAATAGCCCTAAGATTAACTAATTTGTGGTATTTCAGATGAGGTGAGGAGGTGATTTCATAGCCAAAGGGTCCTCCCAGACAACACACTACCAAGAGCCCCTCCTTGTAAAACTGACAGGGCTCCAGCTCTAGCACCTCCACTGATCTCCACTGTGGCACTGTGGGATGGCAAGGGAGGTGGGTTTGTCAGGTAACCAGGTCACAATCTAGTTAGCTTACTACCATCACCTTAAACGCAGCCCAGTAACTGATAGGCAACCAGTGCAGATCATGGAGGACAGGTAACAGCCATACAGCCTCCATTCAAGGGAGAGATCTAATTCTTGCTGTATCTTCTGGCTGCTTCCCTCCATCCTACCAGCATTACTTTCATCTCCTCCATACTGAACTCCAGCCAGCCTACCCTTATCCAAGCCACATGTTGTATCAAGCAATCAGTAAATCATTTAGTAGCACTGACTAGATCGGATGAGACGGAGGAGAGCTGGGTGTCCTCAGCCTGTTGAAAGACCATAGCCTATGTCCTCCTAATGACCCCATATACTCTTTGAAGAAGAGAGAGGACAAGATGTGCCCTGTGCAACCCCACATGAGAGGGCCCTCAGAGCGGAAGAGCAATTGCCCAAAACTATCCTTGGGGACCCGTCTGAGAGACAGGCACCAAGCCACCTAAGGGCTGCCGCTCTTCTCCTAGGGTTCACAGGCAAATGAATGCCCCTTTGAGATCAGTGGTATCAAAGGTAGTTGATAATATCCGCTTGGACACCTGTACCCAGATCAAAGGTATTTAGATGCCTAACTTCCATTAATTTCAATAGAAGTTAGGGGTCTGAATATCTTT